CTTGTACTTGCCGATCTGGCCCCATGCTAGTGACCTATAGTCCCAGCCCATAACATCTTTTTAGTAAGATGAGATCCCATTTGTTGATTCTGTGTGATAGTTCCTGTGTTGTTTTTTTTTGTTGTTGTTGTTTTTTTTTTGGTTTTTCTCCGGTACCAGGAACCGAACTCACGAAGTTGCGCTTGCCAGGCAGGCGCTTTGCCGCTGAGCTAAATCCCCAGCCCCGATAGTTCCTGTGTGATTGGGGTTTTATTCATAAAGTATTTTCCTGCAGTAGTGTCTTCAAGAGTTTTACCTATCTGTCTTCCAGCAGATTTAACGTTTCTGTTTTAATATTTAGATCTTTGATCCATTTCAAATTTAGTTTAATGCATGGTGAAAGGTATGGGTACAATTTTAATCTCTGGCATGAGCAGAGTCAGTTTTTCCAGTTTTTCCATTTATTAAAGAGGCTATCTTTCTTCCAGTGAATGTTTGGTACCTTTGTCAAAGATAAGGAGGCTGAGTATGTCCAGAGTTGTTTCTACATCTTCTAATCTGTTCTATTGATCTTCGGGTCTGTTTTTTTGCCAGTACCATGCTGTTTTCACAGTAGCTTTACAATATAATTTCAAGTCAGGGATTGTGATGGCCCCTGCTTTGCCTTTGTTGCCCAAAATTGCCTTTGCTATTCTAGGTCTCTTCTGGTTCCATGTGAACTTTAGGATTGTTTTCTATAATTCTGTGAGATATGCTATTGGAAGTTTGAACGGAATTGCATCAAATATCTATAACAGTTTTGGAAGTATGGCCATTTTCACTATATTCGTTCTTCCCGCCTAAGAACAAGGGATGTCTTTCCATTTTCTGATATCCTCTTCAATTTCCTTTTTCAGAGTACTGTAGTTTTCAATGTAGAGGTCTTTCACATCCTTCATTAGATTGATTTGTAGGTATTTCATTTCTTGGGATGCTATTGTGAAAGGTGGTGTTTCCCTAATTTCTGTCTCAATGAGTTTGTTATTCATGTATAGGAAGGCTGTTGATTTTTGAGTGTTGACTTTGTATCCATTTATGCTACTGAATATGCTTATTAAATCTAGCAGTTTTTTAGTGGAGTTTTTGAGGTCTTTTATGTACAGTATCATGTCATCTGGAAATAATGATAATTTAACTTGTTCCTTTCCTATTGTTATTCCTTTTATTTCCCTTGTCTAATTGCTCTGGCTAAAGTTCCCAGGATTATGTTGGGTAAGAGTGGAGATGATGGATATCCTTGTCTTGTTCCTGATTTTAGAGAGAAAGCTTTTAGTTTTCGTCCATTTAGTATGATGTTGGCTATTGGTCTGTCATAGATGGCTTTTATCAGATTGAGATAAAGACATCTAGGAGCTGGGGATTTAGCTCAGTGGCACAGCACCTGCCTGGCAAGTACAAGGTCATGAGTTCGATTCCTGGTACCGGAAACAAAACAAAACAAAAAAAAAGAGACAAAGACATCTATTCCAATTTTCTGTAGGGTTTTTATCATGAATGGGTACTGGACTTTGTCAAAAGCTTCCAGCCCCTGGTTCTTTGGCACTGTGTCACAGTATTTTCAGTAACCCTTAGTCAATCTGTCTTGGAATACCAGAAAGAACAGCTGTTTAGAACAATTACATCACTTTTGACTGTAGTGGTACCATCAGCAGTGACAACAGCATTAAACACAGCCTAGAACATGACAAACTGAGCTAACCATTAACTTGCCACCTTTAACTGTATGAACTAGATTTGTGGTTATATAACAAAATCTAAAACAAACCAGAAAATTATATGCAGTATACAAGTCCTTAATATGTCAGTTTTGCCCTCAGAGGTTAAATTTAAAATGGGTTAGGGAGAAAACAGAGAAGTGGGAGAAGAGGAAGAGATTAGAAGTAAGGCTAGGGGACAAAGGAGGATTACGCTAACTTTGGGAAACTGGTGCAGAAGACTGTAGGGAAAGAGAAGAAAGAGATAAAAAGAACAGAACCACAACCACAAAGAGGCTAGAAACAATGTTCACACTCATATAAAAACAAGGTAAAACAATGAAGGAGAAGAAACAAAAACAAAACCAAAAAAAGAGAGAGAGAAAAAAGATAAAGATCCACTTGCATGTATGTCTCTGTGGTCACTGGTAGACATCGTGTAGAGATGGAGTCCACATCCTTGTTAATTTATCCCAGCAAGCCAGCAGTAGCTTTTTGGCAGGGTAGTGGATAAGCTCAGTGAGCCTGCACCTTCTGGCCAAGACCAGACTCATTCACCCTGCAGCCATCAGCACAACTTCCATGCTGACCTGAGCCCGGCTGTGAGCTGCCAGATGGAGCCTGCAGCTGCTGTGAGTTCTGAGCTCAGCTGACCCCACTCCAAAATGGCTCCCAGCCAATTGCTGTCTCGCACAGGACAACTGAGCTGTCCGTACTCACCACCAGCTAGTGTAATCCTTCACATCTGCTGCTGCTGTCCACTGCTACATCTCTCTGTAGAGGCCTCTGGGGTCACCAGCAGTCACTGTGTGTCCACAGGTTTGAACCACTGCTCTTGCACACTTAGTCCTGTCTCACGGAGAAGGCGCCGCCTACTACCACCTTCTTCAAAGTTTCTCTTTACTCTGTCCATGGGCTTCAATTCATGCTTCAGATCCTTCCTGGGTGCAAGGAACCCACTTCCCTCTTTCTTGTCTTCCTCACATTGCTAAATTCCAGCATCTGCATGGTGACCCTCAGAGAGGTTCTTTCTCTCCTGCTTACCACTCCATCTTCATGATCTAATTTTTAAAAATTTTTTAAAACGAAATTTCTTAAGGAAGCAATGTGAAGTACAATTTTAAATTATATGTAAAACTACTATAGCCGCTAGACAAGGTATTGATACCAGAAATCTGAGCCATGTCAAGTTGTTAGCCTTCTGACCTGGGTTCTGCTCTTGTCTCCAATTATTAAGTTTTATTTTCTCATCTATGAAATTATGATATACACTAACTGTTGTGCAGATACAGTAAAATGAAAAAATCATATAAATGCAAAGGATTCACCCCACATGGACTGTAAAAGTAAAAGTTGCCATAGAAGTTCCTGGTTATTTTGTTTTTTGAGACAGGATCTCACTATGTAGTGAAGGCTGGCCTTGAGCTCACTTATTATGTAGCCCACACTGGCCTTCAACTCATGGCAATCCTTATGCCTCAGCCTGAGTGTTGGGATTACAGACGTGCGCCACCACACCTGTAGGATTTTAAAGGAAAAAGGAAAAAGTTGCCAAGCCCGTAAGCCTTGTGACTTGCTCTTTGGTCAATAATATAAGCCATGGTTGGCTCACGTCTTTTTTTTTTTTTTTTGGTACCAGCAATTGAACTCAGAACCTTGCACTTGTCAGGCAGGTGCTGTGCTGCTGAGCTATATCCCCAGCCCATGGTCCAGTTTTCTGAAGCAACTTTACAATAGTTATTCTGTACACAAATCCAAAGCCCAGTATAAATCTTTGTTCCAGTTTTATCATCTGTTCCATATAAGAATTAAGCTAGAGTACAATAGAATAATCTTTGTGGAAAGAGGATTATTACCGAGGGATATATAAAGAGAAAAGCATCAATTCTAGAAGAGAATTATACCAAAAACTGGCCAACTACTATTTCAAGTGGATATTTTCCTGGCCTTCATCTTTGGAGGAATGTGCAGAGGTGATTAACCCCTAGACCTTAAAACCCAACTATACTACCTATGTAGGCAGATGAACACATGTAATTAACCTGCAGCAATTAAGATAAAATGAGTTGGGCCAGAGATACAGCTCAGTGATACAGTGCCTGCCTGGGAAGCTCAAGGTCCTGAGTTTTGATTCCCAGCACCAAAAAAAAAAAAAAAAAAAAAACAGAGATAAAATGAGTTATGTTAGAAAATACTAAACTCTTAAGATTAAGAAGACTAGTACTGCATGAAATTTGGGGTCCCTGAAGCACTATTCGCACATTATATTACTATATATTATATTGCATACGTCCAGCTGGACCTTAATCTTAAACCCACATATATTGCTAGACATAAGTCTGGGTGGGACTTTTACTCCAACAGTCACCTGTAATTTCCAGTCTGGGCTAAAAATAGAGCTCAATGGTGGAACACAGGCCCGGCTTACACACTGCCTGGATTCAGTCCCCAGTAGTGTAAAGAAGAAAAACTTTGCATCGTTCTATTTATCCTTCTTGATGTTATCTGTGTTCAGCAGGAGAGTGGGAGATTTGTTTTGCGTCATCAAGAGCAGACTTTTCTGCTTCCTTGACACCTCACGTTATGTACGATGTGGACGTCTGTTTATGGAGCAGAATGTCGTAGCCACTTTGCTGTACTTAGTTCCTACAGTGTCTTATGAGTAGAAATTGCTCAAAGCTCAATTCAAGCTTGAATGAACCTTAAGGTAAAAAAATAAATAACATAAAAAATTTCAGTTGTTAGTTAAATCACCTGTAGATGCTACACCTTTTAACCTAGAAAGTTTTCTTCATAGTACTGTTGCGGTTCAAAGTATGGTTCTTTACTTACCCCCTAAAGCAAAGCAACTTTTCACGTTCCCATGTGGCAGAGCCTCATTTCTAGAACTCAGAACTTTTGCTAGCCACTGCATTTTCTGTTTAACAGCAGCATATGTAGGTGTAGGATGAGTTTGTAAGCCCTAGTTATCATCCGGATATGTCAGAACAGCCTCATAAAGCACTTCGGCTTTAAAGGACAGCACATGTCCGCTCAGAACTGATGTTGCGCTTGGCTGCCTTCCTCTGCAAGAGCCAGCACACCCCCAGGAGGCATCGGCAGAGGTGTCTTCAGTAGCCCAACACTGGACACTTTGGAACAAGCTGCATGGTGAGTGTGTACTGTGTAACTTGGGCAGGTAGGCTAACACGAACGTGCCCCCTTGCAACTGTATATTTACATAACTGAGCAATGTGCTGACACTTGCAACTAGAAAGTAATGTGCAAAGAGACAAGACTCACATTGTCCAGGATACAGTATATAGAGCACCCTCTACAGAAGCAGTCTTTATTTTATTTGAAGAGAGAACACATGAAAAATGCTGTGACAGGTTGTCATGATGGTCAGTCCCTTTTTAAGTAACTTCCTGGGACAAAGTCATAGACCTCAGGAAGCAGAGCAATGGAATGCAAACACAGAAATTACCTATGATTTACCTTAGTAAACATTGTGGCCTACCTGCAGCCATTCCCAAGTGACTTCACTCATAGTAAATGCCAAGTAAACAAAATGCCAAGCTGCATATAAAAATGTGATTTTTGCCTATACTGGCCTCTTGTATACAGAAGGAATTTTGGTCAGACCATGACAAAAAAAAAAAGGTGGATGGCTATATGGAATTAAAAGCACAGTTCTTTGTGTCGAAGAATGTTTTACTGGCAACACTAACTGTATCATACAGACATTAACTGGGACAGTAGTTTATGTTTCCCTATCCCAAAAGAAGCAGAACAGGAAACAGGTATGAAACAGAGGAGGATATCGTTCACCAGGTTATTTCAGTGCAGCCTGTGGGAATGAGCACGAGGTGTCCTCGCTGTGTTCCCAGGGGTCTGTTACGTGATAAGTATTTACAGGAGGGTTAGACAAAATAGTTAACTACTAAAGGTATTCAAAAAAGGCCTGAGAAAATCTGGTTAAAATTTATAACCTTGTATTGCTACTGATGGGAATAGTTATTTTTATATCTTTTAAAAATAATAAAAAGATTCTGTTAAAAAATATATTTATCCAGAAAGATGTTGATTTGAACTCTAAAAAGCAACATGGCATTATCATTTTCCCTTTTGAATGAAGTGCCGCTGGGCTCCATGTTAGTTCCCTTTCTAATTTCAGATCCACCCCTTTCTCACGTGAAACTAAAACATGCAGCCAGTTCTTCCTAGGCTTCTTCCATTTATCCTTCCAAAAATCCTTTACTGGAGCAGGTGCTGAACACATGCTTGGTTTGGTTCAGTATCGGGGCCAGCTTGCCCACTTCAAGAACAAGCCATGGGTTCCCCTAGCTGCTCCTTCAGGGACAGAATTAGCTGCCTTAGGTTTAGCCCGGAGGATCCTGCTCTCAAAGGAACTGCCTCTATAAATTCAAATTGGATCTCTCAGTATGTGGAGTAAGGTGGCTTGAAACTATTAGTAATTTTTTAAGGCTAAGGCAACATCCGTGGTCATTTGTATATCTTAATTTGATGCAAATAGGTAACCACAATCTAAAATAGATCCTGTATATATCTCCTCTTTAACTTTAGCCGGGGGTGGAAGGAATGGAATAGGTGGAAGTGGAGGAGGCATAATGACAATGTTCTAGAAACCCTATATACAGGTAAAAATAAAGAGTAGATCGGCACAACCCATTTCTTTGGTGAACAGTACAAGGTCTTAAACTCACAAACCATTCTACAAAGGCTGCTGCTGCTGCTCTCATATATAAAAGCACCCTGACTCTGCAATAACTTGTTTTGTTATCACTCCTTGATAAAAATGTATCTACAAACCTGCGTGCATTGGGGTTTTTGTCTAAAGCTGGTAGTAAAAATGCGACCTGCAAGCCTATACAGCTAATGGAAAGTGACGATGCTCTCCTCCCCTGAGCCTGGAGATGGGACCTGCCAATCCCCTCTTTCCACTTTTGGGAGCATCTGGATGGGCCTGGGTGTCCCTGGTCTTGCACCTCTGTGGAAAGAAGGGGCAGCTGCCATCTGCACCAAGGGTAGGCCCTCAGCGCCAGGGCTTCGGTTGACATAGCACTCGTGTGCAGCCCAGGGCCTCTGCTTTATGCAGCCAGTGGGCAGAAAAGTCTATTTCTCAGTGAGAGACAGCTTTAAGACTTGCTGGAGCTCAGCCTCCTCCTCCTGGAGCCGGAGCTCCCGCTCTTCCAGCTCTTTGGCAGACAGCTCGATGGCCAGCTGCAAGTCGCTATCAAAACGGCCTGTCTCGCTCAGGGCACCCGGGCACGGGCCTTCAGTGCTGGTGAGGAGGCTCTCCTGGATTGCCCTGGTTGGAAAAAAGGAAGAAAAGAGACAGTCATTACTATCGGCATCATGGTGGTGGCAATAACTGCATTTTTCTTTCTTTTTTTGAGACAGGGTCGTGCTGTGTAGTTTAGGCCGGCCTTGAACTTGTGATGATCCTCCTGCCTCAGCCTCTTGAGTGCTGGATTACAGGCACGCATCACCACACCTGGCTCTCGCACTTTTAACTGCTTACCAAATGCACACCGTGCCACGCACTTTCTATGCACAGTACCATGTATCCTGTGGGGGTGTAGGTGCTGCGTATAGGAGAAAAACTCAATGTTCAGAGATCTACTTGGTGATGAGGCTGCAAATTGAAAGGTAAAACCTAGGTTCTTCATCAGTTGTTCTACGTGCAGCACTTCTATCACCCCTTTTTGACACACACTGTAAAGAGGTTAGAGCTAGTTTAATGAGTAACTGCTACAGGAGGAAGCAGGAGAACTAACCACTTACATCTGTCCTCCTAGACAGTGTGCCATTCATCTGCCCATGTATTAAGTGGTTGTTGCAACCTCAGTTTGACAAGAGCCACATCATCAGAGGTCAGTCAATTACCTCTCATACTGGGCTTCATAGCTGTGTGTTGGGCTGATCCCTCCATTCGGAGCTGGTCCTGAAAGTTCCTAGTGAAAACAAAAGCGATGCACATGAATAGAAGACACGTTGATGCACTGATAAGGAAATGAAACCCGCAAGAACAAAGTTAACACTCACATGCTTATTACTGACAGTGCTGTGCAAAACACTAATAGGGACTTAGCAGCCAGGTGTGGTGTCACACAGCTGTAGTCCCAGCGCTTCGGAGGTTGAAGCAGGGGGATCACAGCTGGCCAGCCTGGGCTACACGAGCTCAAGGCCAGTCTGGACTACACAGCGAGACCCTGTCACAAAAGCAACAAACACACACCAACTAATAGGGACTTAGGTTATGGTGAAAATGACCCCTAAACTTCAGGTCATGTTTGGTATAGGGCAGTGATGGTGAACCTGTTAGAGCTTTTAATGATAACAAACAGCCTGCTGCGGCACACATGCTGTAGGTTCGCTGCCATTGGTCTAGGGTATGTGAGGTATTATCCTAATTCATGGCCACCACCTCCTACTTCACACATAATCACTCTGTTGAAAACAGCTAACCTTGGGGAATACCTAAGTGCCCAAAAAAGGGAATTCTTTTAGAGCAAGATTAGAAAAAATGATTCAGTATTTGTCATCTTGAACTCTGACGACTCACCTTGCCAAAACTTACGGCCTACAAGGTTTATGAAGATTCGGGGGAGTAAGATAAGCTCACTACCATGGGGAAAGGAAGAGTACTGGGTCAACAGTGGTGTTTGGGGGAATCCCGGAGGGAATCTGCCTGCTCTGGAGCCTGGCCTTCGGCCCAGCAGCTTCAGAAAACTGCATGGTCTGTGAATGGGTCTGTGGTGGTGTCAAGAGGATGTAAAGGAAGATGACTCACATTACCCACGCTCCAGACTGAAGGATAAAACTGGAAAGCAGAAAGCTTGAGCGACTGGGGATACTGGAAGGTGGGTGCTACTCTCAAAGCTTAGCTGTCCCATGAAGACAGGGCTGGGGATTTTTCACCAGAGAATTCACAGAACATTCTGCAAACACCTGCTGAATGAGCAATGGAGGGAAAGAGGAAACCAGTGACCAAAGAAATGGTCAGCAGGCGCCAAGGACACACCAGAGGGTAGAGAAAGCAGACCAGACACATCAGAGTAGAGCTGGGCACCACAGAAGGGAGGGGACAGAAGTGTACGGTGGGCAGGAGGACCTCAAGCCTCAGACTGTTGCAGCCAGGTGGGGTCTGGAAGGGCAACCATTTGAAACACCAAAAGACAGCTACCCAGGTCTGTCCTGTCTTAGCTCTATGTTTTGGACAACACTCGGTTTAAGGAGATGATAGCCCTCGTGACTGAACACGATATTTGAGTAAAAGAATTTTTACAAGCTGGATATGGTGGTGTATGCTTGTAATCTCAGCACTTGGGAGGCTGAGACAGGAGGATTGCACTTGGGTGGCTGACAAGAGGATTGCTGCAAGTTTGAGGCCAGACTGGGCTACATAGTGAATTCAAGGACAGGCTGAACTGCACAGTAAGACCCTATCTCAAAAAAACAAAACGAAGAAAAAACAAAAAAAAACTATACATAGACTCAGTAGCCATTTTCTTCCCACATGATGTTTGGTCTTCCTTGGGGAGGAAGGGGGCTAAAGTCCACATCACTACCTTCATCTAAGACTACTAACATTTGTAATATTTAGGAAAACCTTGATAGTGTAAATCAATTGTAGCCTGAAATTACTACTTCAATATTAGAAAATGATAAAGCACACTTCAAAAAATACACAATTATTAGCTCCATGGGTGAATATAAAGAAAAAGGAAGTCTATCTGAAGACACTTTGTGAATGACACTGACTAGGGTTATGCAGATGGTCTCTTAATATAGTAAGTTTTGGTAAGCGACCAGGTGCATAAGATATAAAATGATCTATGTAAATACCACGAATGTGCCAAGCTTGTTATTTAGAATATGCCTTTGGTTGCCTAAAAACAGGCCAAACCAGAGGGTGACACTTCCCAAGCCCTGCTATTTATTCTGACAGACATACTTGGTTCCTGCTGGACTCCAACAGGCTCTGCTGGATGGCAAACTGCATTATCTCATAATCTTCATCTTGCAAATGCACGTTTCTTCCATTGTCTTGAACATGGTAAGACTCAGGAATTTCAAACACAGATTGATCAACCTCAAAATTTGTGAACTGGGAAGCTGAAGCACAAAAGACAATAGTCCAGGATCTGATTTAATTATAACAAATCTTCACTCCCAACTTCTTTCTTTTGGTAGTGCTAGAAATTGAACCTCGGGTCTAGCGTGATGGCAAACCTTTTAGAGCTTTCACTGATACAAACAGCCTGCTGTGGCACGTGTGCCATGGGTTTACCACCACTAGTCTACTGCATACACAAGTGCTGGAACACTGAGCGACATCCCCAGGCCACCTCCTCACCCCCTTTGTGACACAGGGTCTCACAGTGTTGCTCAAGCTGGCCGCACACCAGCCGGGTATGGTGGCATGCACCCATAATTCCAGGGCTGGGGAGGCTTAGGCAGGAAGACTGCAAGTTTGAGGTATACCTGGGTAATTTAGCAAGAACTTATCTTAAAGTAAAAGTCATAGTCAAGGCTTAAGCTGGGGATATAGCTCAGCGGCACAAGCACCTGTGCGGCAAGGTCCCAAGTTTGATTCCTGGCACCAAAAAAAAAAAAAAAAAGAAAAGAAAAGAAAAGAAAAAAAAACCCAAACATAATCAAGGCTTACTATTATGTGAGAAACTTTGAGAATTCTGACAGTAGAAAGTATCAGAATACTTCTTGGTGCCTTGATTTTTTTTTAGTGAAAAAACTAAAATATGGTCAAAAATTAAAAAAGATTATAAAATGAAAAATGCAACGTTCTCTCCCTATGCCAGGTCTACTTCCAAGCACCAAAGGTAGCCAGTGTTTACTTGTATTCTTTGAGGGCCGATATGTAAGGGTGGATATTGATGCGGGTGGGCATGTATGTGCATACATATCTAGTCATACACCAGTTTTTTTCCTTTTTATAATGAAATATAGGGGCTAGGGAGATAGCTCAGTAGCACAGCAACTGCCTGGCAAATGTGAGGTCTCGAGTTTGATTTCCAGTTCCAAAAAAAAAAAAATCTATGAAATACAGTAAATATGAGTACATATCTTCACATTTAAAATACAACTGTAATAATACAATGCCTGTGTATCTCTCTTCTAGGCAAACACACAAGATGTAACCAGTATCACACCCTCCTTACCAGTATCTCCTTTCATTTGCTCCACAGGTAAACACATAACTAAGATACTGGTTTTTACTATCTAGCTCTTCTCTGGAATTTTTCCACAGTACATAAACTGAAAAATGTTCAGCCCATTTTTTAACTTTACATAAATGGACTCTCACGGGATTTACTCATCAAATTAGATTTTTTTTCCCATTCAACATTGTTTTTGAGATTTACCAATTCTGATACACTTGGGTATTTTCACTATTGCAATGTAGTATTAATGTAACACAATTAGTAGATTCTATGATCTCAGGACATGTGTCTACTTTCCAGAGTTTTGCTATTATGAACAATGTTACTATTTATTATTAGGGTTTCCATATACTTATATGTATAAATTTCTCTGGGGTACAAACCTAGAAATTGCTAGGTTATAGGGTAGATATGTCTTCAATTTACTAAGTAATGCCAATTTTTTTTTCAAGAAATTATACATACCAATTTACTTTTCCTGATAAGAGTAGATGAATGTTCCTTTGCTATGCAAGTCATGAATATGTAATATTATCCAACTTTATTGCCACATTGGAGTGTAAAGTTATAGCAGAAAATGCCCCCCAGCCAGTCTGTTAGTTGCCCAAGTAACAGTTTCTGTTACAAGTTCCTGTTATTTCTGTCTCCTAGAAACAGCTGGTCACTGTGATGCATGTTATAAGAACCAAACAGCCGGGCGTGGTAGCACACGCCTGTAATCCCAGCACTTGGGAGGCTGAGGCAGGAGGATCCTTGCAAGTTCGAGACCAGCCTGGGCTACAAAGTACGCTTAAGGCCAGTCTGAACTACATAGCAAGACACTGTTTCAGATATTTTGAGGGACAATTGATTCCCTGTGAGTGCCTGTCCAAAGTTAAATAAATCTGCCTCCAAATCTGGGTGTTGTTTTGGTGTTTCTGCTTGCTGTTGTAAAGTTGTATATTACTGTTGACTCTAATTTTGTTGTTTTTCTGAGACAGGGTCTTGCTATGTAGTGCAGGGTGGCCTTGAACTCACTTGGTAGTCTCAGACTGGCCTCAACTTGCAGCAGTTCTCCTGGGTTACAGGTGTATGCCACCATGCCTGGCAACTCTAATTTTTTGTTTGAAGTTTTAATTTACATACACTAAAGTACTATCTTTTAATTCATCATACTGGTAGACTAAAAAGAAAACCCTTATTACCATCACATTGTTGTGTAAAAACCAGCTGACAAAAATCACTACTGAAAGATGATAAAAATTCTCAACGATGGGTTTGATCCCCAGCATCACAAAAGAACAAGCAAAACAACCAAAAAGAAAAAAACTCAACAAACTAGGAGAATGAAGGAAGTTTCCTCAATATAATCAAGGTCATTCACAAAGAATCTATATCTAATATCATACTTAATGATGAAACGTACAATCAAGAACAAGAGGGTTGGGATATAGCTCAGTGGTAGAGCACTTGGTCAGTATGTATGAGGCCCTGCATTCAATTCCTAGCACCACCAAAAACATGTTAATCAAAGTCAGGAACAAGGCCATGACATCCATTCTTCTCACTCCCATTCAACATTGTACTTGATGTGCTAGACATATTACTAAAGCAAGAAAATAAAGGGCTTAAATAACTTCCAAGGAAAAATTAAAATTGTATCGATTTATAGACAACATAATCATGAAAGTAAGAAATCTTAGGAAATCTACAAAAGAAGCTATTGGAAGTATACAAAAATCTATTATATTCCTACGTACTGATTGCTGGAAAATAAATCCATTTAAAACAGAATCCAAATACATGAATTGGATGGGTAACAAAGGAACATGAGGAAACTTGGAGGCATCTAGAAATGCTCTGTCTTGACTGTGAACGCATCTTGACAGATGCATATATTTCTTAAAATGCATTGTCCTCTCACAGTTAAAATTAGACCATTTGAGCATATGTACATGACACTCAATAAAGCTGATTTTTAAGAATATGTTTTCTAATACAGGTAACATCACAGATTCTACAAGTTGTTTTCTCATTTAATCTAAACTAAATCTAAAATTTTCTTATCTAACATAAAAACTTACTTCATAAGATATCAAACTGGAAAATTAGCATAGTGATTGAATATATGAATTGCTATTCTTAAGTCACAAAGCTCAACTTTGTTTTTTACCTGAATCAGCCAGGGTCCCTTCCATGTTCTGAGATGCAGTTTCTTCAGCAGTACTGCAGCCATTAACATTTCCAAATGTAATCCGTGCATTTAAGACATGAAACAAGGGAATTTCTAACAAAATAAAAGCTTTTATAAATAAGCTTTACTAAGAACAACAATAATAGTAATCATTTACTGACTGCTTAGTAAGCTGGTGTTGTTTCAGACACTTTTTATCAGTATGACTTAATTTAATCCTCATAACGTCGCTCCTCAGTGCACAAAAGAGAAAACTGAGATGCAGATTCAGAGTTAAGCCTTTTCTTCCAGCATCACAATGATTAAGTGATTGAGCCCGGATTCAAGTGTCAAAACATACAACTATTCAAAATTAAAAGTTCTCACAAATACCATAACAGCATTATGGATACTATTTCAGGCCATAAAATAAATTTATATATCAAAAAAATGTTGGTATCAACTGGCTTCCTTAAATAATTATCTAACTAAAGTTTTACTTAGTGTAAGATTTGACATTAAAACAATGAATATGTCATACTTGCATACCTTTTTATTTCTGTCAGCACCATCTATAAATAGAACTGATGGCTGCAGATCTCCTAATTTTGATATGAACCAAGATCATGACACTCCTGTGCTCGCTTCGGCAGCACATATTCTAAAGATCATGACACTCCTTTAAATCAAATCAAATCAGAGGATAATTCTGATCTCTTCCACTGTATTTATTGTATGATACCTTGTGCCTCATGAGCTACAATTCCATAAAGCACATTCTGTTCCCCGTAACTAAGAGTACAACTTATACTGCTGCTTTTATTTAATGGTACCTATTTTGACAGGAAATCCAGGTGGGAATTCCAGTTTGATGAAATCTCTCAGTCTTGCAAAATGAGCACTAGTCCGAGCCATGAGGTCAATTATGGGAATGACCTGCTCCACGAGGGAGAGGGGAAACTCTTCACACATCCACAGCATTGCTTTAAACCTGCAGGATTAGACCAGGAAAAGATGGGGACAGTGGATCACTGCTATGTGATAGGCTGGCTAACACCAGCCTCCTTACGCCACACTATTCCCCACTACTGTCTCTTACTTCAGAACTGTTAAAGGACTGCCACAAGAAATTCAGATCACTCTGAAATCTGGCAACTGGATAAATGACCTGGATTACAACCTACCCCTGCAACAGCCATACAGGAAACACAAAGAAACTGACAGCTTATGAAAACCATTTCATTTGATTGGTCAAGACTTCTTGATGGTAAAAGAACCAAAATAAAAAAGAATTCTTTTTCTCATCTATAGACTATTTGAAAAGGGCTAATCAGAAGGGCAATCTACTGTGGCTTTCATCAGATAAAATAATTTAAAAATTCTTCTTAAAGAAAGGGGCAGAAAGAGGACTGAACCCAACACCATAAAATAGCATGACTTTAATAACCCGTAAGTTGAAAATGGCAGCCAACTAGCTCTTACTTTTGTGTTCTAATTGTCAGCTCTTTTGGCCTCCCGATGTCCCTGTCTTTCAGATCAAAGTCTTCATCGAAGTACTCATCAGGGGTGATGGCTGTGGGGTTGTTTGCGGTGGCAAACTCCGTGGTGAGGTCCTGCTGAGCCAGAACTCAGGAGAGTCAGAAGTGGCAAATGATGCTCACAAGTGGAGGCCTACGGCACTTGGTCTCTGAGGTAGACATGTTAACCAACTATAGATCAGGAGAGTCTAATCACTAACTCCTTAAAATTAAGTTATTGCATGGAGCAAGCAAATCTAAAAAGCTGTTGTAAAACCACATGGCAAGTCTTCCCCATTTAAAAATACTTCTCTATTCTCTTTTGCATTTTTATCCCCAATTATAGAAAAAAGAGAAATTCGAAAGTGTGAGATTTGAACTTGGAGTTTAAGTTCCACCTCTTGTCATTGTCTACCTTAGACCCCGGAAAAGAAATTTCATTTTACTGACCTTATGTGATATCCCTTGTACCAAGAGCATACAGTTATCATGGGGATCAAGTAAGAAAATGTTAAAGTGCTCAGTTACAATACAGAGTCCTGAATCCTTTCCAAGTTTCATGTTTACAGAGAGATCCGTAGTTTATTGGATGAAAGATCTCTCACCTGATTTCCATAAGTAATCCCCTCTCTAAAATCTTTATTTTCAGGCTCATTCAACTAATTCTCTTCCAAAAGATTCTCAAATTCCTACTTGAGAGTTCTCTAACTTTTTCAGAGAGTGGCCTACTCCTGATATACTTAAGTGCCGTCAGAAAGACACAGAAGTTCATTCTCTTCATTACACTGCTCTACAAGTATGTGGCTTCAACTTACCCCTTGAGCACCAAACTGATGTTCCACAGTTCCCAGCAGAGATTCCAGTGGGTTCCTGTCCGCTACAGGTGGGGGGAAAGTTTAATGTCGAATATTACATCTTACTTGTGGCTACAGAAAAAGTTCCTTATCACATTTTTAAAATTTGTGATCCACGCTAACTGCATTAGAAAATATATTTAGAGATAGGCTGATAAAACCATCCACAAAAGCTAATCTATCCCTTACAAATACTTTTTATTAGGATCTCTAAACTAGAGGAACAGTTATAAAAACCCAAGCAGAATTGTGGAGTCTAGATTTAGAAGTGAGCCAGATCTCTATTCTAATCTCATCTTGGCTACGTGTGTGCTGGGCCTCAATTCCCTCATCTGTCAAATCGGAGCAACGCTAACAGTTGTAATGGTGTTGGTTACCACATGCCGTAAGCAGTATTCTAAAGGTTTACATGGGGCAACTTACCTAATTCTCTCAGTTACACTAACAAAGCACTGGTATCACCTCTGCTTCATTGCTGAGGAAACGGAGGCACAGTAGGTTCCCGATTTCACAAGGCCACAAAGCTGACAGAGCCAGGATATGGCCACTATACAATGGTAGTGTTGTGGCTCAGAGCCCAGGCACCATTCAAATCTTTTATCACAATAATTAAACTAAATCACTCATTCCAATGATAATGTTCTGCAATATTTATATCTACTTTTTTGGCTGATGTAACAACTGTTCATCAGAACACATAAACAAGCCCTCATGAACAGTTTTAATAACAGCTGAACCTAACTATGGAGAAACACTCCAAGAATGAATCAGTCTAAGGAAATCTTTATAATAAGAAATTAGGGTTAGGATTAGCATCTCCCAATCACATTACTCCCAAATTTAAAGGCTCTCTCTAGACTAAAAATATAGAAGAGAAAAAAAGAAAAGAAAAAACCAGAGGTGGGAGGCAGTGGTGATTACCTTTGTATCTCTTTTTTTCCTCCTCAGTAAGATGTTCTGTGCGTATTTTAGTTATCACACTCACATTGTTTACTGTGTAAACCTTGAGAGATGTGTGCAAAAGAAAACAGTGACACAGGGAATCAAAACTCAAAAAATAAGCATAGCACGAGCAAGAATGCTGAAGCAAAAAAAAAAAAAAAAAATCCAGCAAAATAAAAATGAAAAATGGTTAACAATCATTAGGATCCTTCAGAGAAAATACACAATCAACTTAGAACTGTATCAGCAGTTACTCTCCATATTTGAGTTTAATACCGAGGAGTTAGCAGTGACAGGCTGCATCTCCCTACTTGCCCTTCTTGTTGCTAAATGGTCTCAAACAAATGTCCTGTAAGTAAGTTTCCCAGGTGGGCTCCTACTGCACTAGAAGACCCAACCCTTTCTCCAATACCTCCACTCATCTGTGGTAATCTAATAGTACTGATTCAGACAGCCATCTGCTGGACAGGAGGAGGAGGAGTGAACACAGGTTCTCTAGACCTGTAAGGTTCAGAGAAACCCAGCAAGTCACTATTGAAAAGCTGTTCTGTCTACTGACAAAAAAACTACTATAATTGCCAGAAGAGATCATCTGTTATTGGAATACAGTGATCTGAAAGCTAAATACAAGAGGTAACAGAGAATTAACTATTGATGCCATATGTGGGTTCCCAGTGTTGAAAGCTGCAGAAAACATACTCAGCACTAAAACTACTGTTTCTAAACGCATCTTGCTGAGCATGACGTGAGCTTTGTCCACTCAGAGGCCATCCAAGGACCCTGCAGCACCTGGCTCCATCCCTGCAAGCCATCAATCCCTGCTGTACTGCAAGACTCAGGAAAGGTCAGCAAACAGCTTTCCAGCTGACAAAATGCCAGGTTACTGGACAGATAGTTGTCTCTACTACTACAGCAATGTTTTAAATTCACTGATGTCATGTCAATGGGCTGTGAGCCTACTGGTTGCAATTTGGCTGATTAAAAAAAAAAAACCTTAAGAGCTAAAAAATGATAGACTTACAAAAAAGCAACTATATATATCTATATATACATATATATATATACACATATATACATATATATATATTTAAAGCCATTCAGATTATAAGAAAAAAACCAACAAGTATGCTAAATCTAATCCTTTCTTTTTTCTTTCTTCTTTTGAGAGTTAAAAGAATGACTACCTAGTCTTTTCTCTGTACTTATTTCTTTCTACAACACTGTCTCTCTATGGCATAGCTAGAGACCTCCTCAGGACATGCTATCCCATTTTCTGAAAGTCAAGTAAGATAAAACATCCAAGTGAGACACACATTAGACAATACTTATTCTCCAGAGGACCTTCATGGCACAGATGCATGAAAAAAAAATCTGAACAGACTCCTCATTTGCATAGAAGCTAAATAGCTATATTAAATCTTATTTTAAGAGTTTCCTTTTACCTTTGCTTCGTAACCATTAACAACTTCTGCTTTATCTGTCCTCCAGCCCCAGAATCCGGATTTAGTTCTGATAAAAAGTGAACACCACAAATTTCTACATGTACAATATGCCATTCAGATTTATTCCTGCAGCCTTTACAATTTTTCCCCCAGCTTAAGTTAGTGAAGGACACTTGAAAATCACGGTCCTATTGTTCACAGAAGGATGCTGCCAATGACAGATGGCTTAAACATCTCCCACCCTCCTCCCACAGTTATTAATCAGTTTGCCTCGCTCCAGGCATAGAAAGCCTCCATTCTTGGCTTCTTTACAAAAACTGCCATCACAGGGGACAAAGGTGGTGACATTTATTGGACAGCTGTTCTAAAGAAGTGAATGAAGCTGAGCAGCATCCAAGGGCCCTCACATGGAGGTATCACCAGAGCATTTATCTGGGTTATCTTAACTGTGGGCATGGATATCAGATACTTAATCCCTGTAAGTAGCCAAATCTCCATCTAGCCATTCTCAGAATAATGAGGCAGAGAGTATTTTCCTCATCAGAGGAAGGGAGGCAGAAGAGGAACTCATCACTGTGTCTGCCAGATTAGGCTATTAAAGCCTGCAAAATGGCTTGTGATTCATACATTGTATCAAGTCTAGTGCAATAGAGGGAAAGGCTATTAAAATGGTTTTTCAACCCAGCTGCTGATTCCAGTCTATGGAACTGCTTTTAAAGTAACCCAGCATTCCAATGGCAGCTGCAGTACTGGTTAGGTGCCCAGAAACCCAGTTATTCAACTCTACAAATTCCTGGAAAAAATGATTTTAGTACTCAAGAACAGCCAAGAGGTTCTGATTTGTTTCAAAGAACTTTCTCTGGGACATGCTACCACTCTGAGGGGAGCCCTGACCTTTGTCTAGGACATCACATCCTAGCTCTACTTAGCCCTGTGTAGGCGAAAGCCTGCCTTCTGCTCTGAGCCCTGAGTGAAGGGAGATGTCACAGAGCTCAGGGAACAGTGGCAGGTTAGCGAAGTCACAAAAACACTTATTTACATTTTGTGTTTCTAAATGCTTTGCTTTCCTTCTAACAGAATTTGGTTAATGAAATTAGTCTAGATGGAACGTAATGAGCTTTATGTGTGTATTTTAACCTGTCAGAGAAAGGAAGGACCAGAGCTTTCATTTTCCTCTTCATTCTCTACAATTCATCAACATGACTCATGCAGGGAAAGTCGAAATTTTAAAGGGATTACACCAAAAGCTAACTTACACTGCAGAAGCCAAATAATTAACAGCCGCAGGGCTGCAAGCTAAGGACCAAAACGTACTGATTAATAAGCCACAGATCCCACCTAACCATCAAGTGAAAACAGAGATATTCCTTCTAGTTACCTAATTCAATCCTCAGTTCCTTGTCTTTGCACTAAGCCACTTCTGTTTTCTGGCATTTGATCCTCTGAGGGACCAAAGGATGACAAATCTGCTCCACTTCATCTGAGAAAACGAAGCTTTGCTGTTCTCCCAAGGACCCGCAAGCTCTTCCGCTATCCACATCTGCTTTCTCACAGTGCTGGCTCCTACTGCCCTTTGCATTTCCACTCTGACAGCAGTTTAGTAAGTAAACTCAGTGTCTACACCCTGTTTCGAAAACCAGTATTTTAGCAAGTCCTTGGCCCCTGGGTGACTGCATGTGCTGCCGACTAAGGATGACAGAACATCCAGCTTCCCTCCTGTGCCATTTTCACTTCTGTCTGTCTCCCAAGAGCACTCGGCAGGCACTGTGTCTGGGCAACTGCTGCACAGCTCGGAGAAAAGCTCTGAAAGTGGCAGGGAATGTTTGACTTCGGGTGAGAGGAGCATAACTTTCAAAGAGAAAAGCCCAAAGTGCAGCCAGAGAGCATACACTGACGACCAAAAGATCATGAGGGGAGGGTAGTAATTTGCAAGTATCAAGTTCTAAGTAATGGACTAGAAGAAAGAGGGGGAGGAAAGCGACTATTGTGGAACAGGAGAAAGCCACACTCTCCATATTCAGTCAAAGAAATGCTTACATCTCTGGTGAGAGGTAGCTGGGCACACATTTTGTACAAGGAAACCTCACATGCAAGGTTTGCTCAAATTCTTGCTAGATGAAAGCCAAGCTCACTGATCACACATTTAATTCTGAACAGCATAAAAAAAGAGTTGTCTTCCAGAAATTCACACTCAGCAGCCTACTGTCAACTGCAAAAGGAGGGTTAACTCGAACTGCCTGAAAACGCTGTGACCATGCAAACACACGATATCCCTTTATCCTCAGTACAAACGGAATGTGCTGTCATTTTCCATCCGCACTCAGTGGGGTAAAGCAAGAATTGGAACACTTCCCTGGCAAGTTTCACTTAATAACAAACAGTGACTAGCAACTCTGCTAATGAATTACATAGGGAACAGTGTCTCTTCTCATAACATCTTAAAGTCAGGGACTTCAGAGTTTTCGTTTTGAGATAGTCTCATGTTTTTCCTTCCAGCTAAGGAACCAGAAAGCCAGAGTGATCAAGAACCTGCCCAAAGCCATAGTTAACGTAGCTGTGCTCATGGCGCTCGGTCTTTCCCACTCTCATCTCAGGCAACAGGGGCAGGCGGCCTTCTCTGTCTCCTGTATTACAAAAGAAGCTCTAAGCTAAAGGTGTCCCCACGGCCTGCAGAGGCTCATGCTGATGCCTCGCTTTCCAAGACTCTCCCAGGTAAAGGCACCTACACCTCATTGCCCCTGGGGGACAACAGCTGTCAACTGGTAAGACTGGTGGGAGGCGGCTTGAGAGAGAGGACTTCCCTGCATCAGGGGACACTACTGTTCCTACTTAAGTAGAAGCAGCCGCTGGACCCCACATAGGCTGGGGGGTTTGGTGTTTCCTTCTGCCACTAACAGATAACTAATTCTACTTAGAAGAAAAGGCCACTTAAGTTATATGTTTCACTAAACAGAAATGTCAAAGGGTTTTTTGTTAATTGTTTTTTTTTTTGGTTGTTGTTTTGTTGTTTTTTGACAGTGGGGATTAAACCCAGGGCTTTTGCACTGAGCTACATTCCCAACCTTTTCCTTTTCATTTTTGTTTCAGACAGGGTCTTGCTAAATTGCTCAGGCTGGGTTCAAATTTATAAACCTCCTGCCTCAGCCTCCCACAGTTCTGGGATTACAGGTATGTGCCACCACACCCAGCTTTTCAGTTTTTTACTTTTTGGGTACCAGGAATCGAACTCAGGACCTCATGCTTGCCAGGCAGGTGCTACGCCACTGAGCTAAATCCCCAGCCCTTCTTAGATTTTTAAAAACTAATTTTATATCAAAAATAAAGAAGAGAAAAATTTTAAAAGATGCCAGCATATTCATGAAGAGAAAAAGAACATCTAAATCCAGGATAATAGTGTCCATTTCAGCTCAAGTTATGCTACTTTGGTTTACAGAGCTGGATGTGACATCCTAGGCAAATACTAAGGACAATTATGGATTCCCTCAGTTCAGTGTATTCCATTACAGAAGTACTGTGACAGCTTCTACATCCCTTACACTCAAAGGCCTCCATACCCTCTGCATAACCCAACGGTAGAGAACCAGGGATAGTGTTCTCATCTGGATGAATTAAGGCACAGAATTCTCCTCATACAGACTGGAACAGAACTGAACCCCTCTCCACTCTCGTTCTAAACTATCAGGCCTCACAAGTGGGAAAAAGAGCCATATTTAACTATATAGTAAGTACAAATTTGACTGATTAATATTAGTACAACCAAACTCAATACAGGGTCAATTCTTGCTTCCAGAAACTCACAGCTCCACAGTTTGGGACTAAGGAGTATTGTGGATCCAAAAATACCATAACTAGAATAAAATACAAATAAAATCCACTAGGTAGGGCCCATGTAAAAGAATATGAAGACATTTCTCCAAGGTTTAACCAATGTGCTATAAAAATGATAGGCAATGTAAGACATCAGCTATGGTTTATATCTGGTTAGAGGAGAGATAAATCTTAAAACCCACTAGAAGAAAAAACAAAAAAAACAACCCACTACTGTTTATATAATAGTAGAAAGAAATTCTAATCCATCCATAATTTCCAGTTAATATATACATGTCTCTAAAGATGTCAGTATAGGGAGTGGACATTCAAACATGGAGTCTAAATTCATACCTTTCAAAAGCAATATTTTTAGTATCAAGGCTGGTGTTAATGACTGGATTTGTGAGCCGCCTCTCAACTTCCCTGCTTTTCGGCTTCATCAAGTCCAGTGTGAGGCGCTCCATTTCTTGGGAAAGATCAAAATGTTCTGTAGTGACCACTTTATCATCATGGTTGACTTCCATCAACTCTGCCCAGTTGTCTGTTAGCACAATGCAAGGGAGATGCAAAGAAGGAAGTTTCATATGTTAAAATACATCACACATCTTTCACAGTTTTGCTTTGGTTTTGTCTGATAAAACCTAGAGTATTAGGGGCTGGGGATTTAGCTCAGCGGCAAAAGCGCCTGCCTGGCAAGCTCAAGGTCGTGAGTTCGGTTCCCAGTACCGGAGAAAAAAACCAAAAAAAAAAAAAAAACCAAAAAAAACCCCTAGAGTATTATTTACTATTCATTACCTATTTATTTGCACAGGGATTATCTAGCCAGCTTTCCAAACCTCATGTTGCCCAAAGATGCAGATTTTCAAAAATAACTTGCATTCTTTATTAGCAACACATTTTTTTCTATGACCTTTATAAAATATATTACAGAGTTAATATAAATCATTTGCCTACTACATGGAGTGAGCAATACCATTTCTTATCCTCCCTTTGCAGGATCATGCCTAATTATGGAGGAAACATACAGAAATATACGACAGAAATATATTCAAAGGCTCAGGACCATAAGGAACATAAGCTATTTCATATGTCACAAGGCTAGCAGAATGGGTGGTAAATGATATGTGCAAGACAATTAACCAGGCAAAAACTAAGATATGGAGTTGAAAAACTAGTAAGAATAACCAAATACAGGTGCCCCAGATAGGATCACACAGATAAAGTATATAAATGTGAAGCCATTTTGAAGGTTAAAATTCACTCTATAATTTAGCTAAAACTGTGATTACGACAATGGAATCAACTTACCTTCTCCTTTAAATATAAAACTACGTCTCCCTCTTATCCAGCTCATATTTTCAAATCCCAGCAATGTGATATCAACACGCAGTTTGGCACCACTTTTCCAAATTCGACAAACATCGTTTGGGCATATTCGGGAAACCAAGGGCACTGCAGGAGAGAAGTGCATGACTGAGAAAAACCCAGGCCAAGCAGAAAAACCCCAGGCCAGGAACTCAGAATTCTGACTTCAGAAGGAGGGCAGTGGCAAGGCTGTGACTATCAAATACAACTGGACTCCCACACTTGGGTCCCACATTTAATATATGAGAAGTCACCTTTGAAATAAAAATGGAGAAGCCAGGTGTGGCAGCGCATGCCTGTAATCCCTCCTGCCTTAGGAGGCCAAGGCAGGAGGATCACTTCAAGTTCGAGGCCAGCCTGGGCTACAAAATGAGTTCAAGGCCAGTCTGAACTGCACAGTGAGACCCTGCCTCAAAAAGACATAAATAAATAAATAGAGGGGCTGGATCTATACCTCAGTGGTACAGTGAGGGCTTTGTATGCTGAAGGCCCTGAGTTCCATTCCCAGCACCAAAAAAATAAATCAATTTTTAAAAATGGACCTTCTGTCCAATTTCTCAGAGAACTCTAAACGAATTTCTCAAGAGTATTCTTGATCCTGAATAGAACCCACTGACTGATCCCCACGAGGGCTGAGTATTTGCCATCTGGCCCTTCTCGTTCACATGCACGATTCTTGCCATCTGGCTTATTGTCACATCCACCACTCAGAGGATCAGATGTCTAAAACATTCTACTTCTCAACAAAACCTGAATTCAGAGGGACTATTTGCATTAGAAAAGAATTCTTTAGTTTCTCTGAAAAATCTAATGTTCTTTTCTATACTTCTTACTTCATTTAACTAACTCTTTCCCTACAAATATGACTTCTTGCCTGAAAAAAGAAATCCGTAAATAAAAATGGCTGAAACCCCGGGAGCCAGGTGTTATATTGTTAACTGGCAAGTAAAAGTAGACCACCTATGAAAATATACTATTAGTCAATTACCTTACATAACACTTTGGAGAAATATATCCATTTTGTAAAAAACAAGTCATTCCAATATTTGCCTCATCTTCCCCAGAATAACAAGTTTGAAAGAATTAAACTGAATCCCATAAGAAAATGAATAAATTATAGGAAGTCTATTTACTAAAATTTTAGCAATTTAAAGGGCTATTTAAAAAGCTAGCAAGACGGCCAGGCACGGTGATATGGCTCATAGTCCCCAGCTACTCAGGAGGCTGAGATGGGAAGATTACTTGAGCCCAGGAGTTCAAACTAGACCCCATTTCTTTAAAAACAAAGCCAGAGCCGGGTGTGGTGGCGCACGCCTGTAATCCCAGCACTTGAGAGGCTGACAGGAGGATTGCTGTGAGTTTGAGGCTGGCCTCATCTACATAAGTGAGTTCAAGGCCAGCCTGAACTAAACAGCAAGACCCTGTCTCAAAAAAAACAAAAAATACAGGGCCGGGGATATAGCTCAGCAGCACAAGCGACTGCCTGGCAAGCGCAGGGTCCTGAGTTCGATTCCCGGTACCAAAAAACAAAACAAAACCAAAAATAAATAAATAAAAACAAAACAAAAATTAATGAAATGGATACACGTGAGCAATAAAAGGAGACAAAACTGTCCACACAGTGTATTTATACAAGTTTAGGGGGCAATGCTTGGGGAGAAAAACTGGAAAGAAAACAAAGTAAGACTAGAGATGACTGTTTTTCCTTGTTTTTCTCTTTGCATTTCCTAGATATAGATTTTTTTAAAAATACATGAAACTTTTACAAAGGAAAATAAACCTATATGCAGGCTAAGTAAGTCTGGAAACAGAAATAAATGACAAGGCTACATCCACTCACCCCAGCTGGTGAACTCCCATTTCATCTGCACGTAGAAGTCTGGAGCCTAAAGGACAGACAAAGGTTTCACTAACTTGGCACTATTAACTAACATAAACAGAGGAAGGATTAATATAGCTTTTTAAAAAATTAAAGGAGAATAGAAAAAATAAGAGGAAACAAAGTACAAATCTACTAAATAAATACTTACTTTTTATTGAAGCAGTTATTTTACCTTGAAATAAAATCTATCTACACAGGAAAGTTAACAGAAAGTGACGGGGTTGAAAAGGAATAAAAAATTTGATTTGGGAGTTTAGTAAGGTTCCTAGAAGTAACAGAAATATAAACCTTGAAAGATGGGCTTAAGGGCTGCTATACAGTGAGGGTTATGCTCGATCCTCAACGAAGAGAAGGAATGTCAGCTGTCCATTCTGTGGGCAACCCGACTGTGTGCTAGGAAGTCCTGCATATTTACTGGGCCACCAAAAATGAGACTGCTGGACATCATGTCTAAGAAATTGGATTTTCTCTACAGTTAACAAGATTTTGCCCCAATTTCCTTTTAAACCTTTAGAATTTGGCTTTTTTAAAGTTTTGCTCTACCAGCTGTTTTTGTTCCCTCGTACCCGCAAGGTTTTACTGTGGTTTCTACAGGAGTGCAGAGCAGGAAAGACAGAAATCTACCCTGGAGTGAAACTGGCCAGGATTCCAGTGATGAGCTGCAATAGCTTTCAAGAGGTAGCTGATACAAAAGGCTGCATATGGTGGGTGTAGTGGTGCATGCCTGCATCCCAGCACTCTAGGAGGCTGAGGCAGGGAAATCTCAAGTTCAAGCCCAGCCTGGGCAATTTAGTGAGACCCTATCTCAGGAAGAAAGAAGGGAGACTAGAGGGGTAGTCAGTACAAAGGCCCTGGGTTCAATCCCTAGAAAAAACGAAGGAAGTGGGGGAGGTCGACTGACATGCTATAAGGAGACGCTGTTGAAACATGTAACAGCAGCGCTAAGTACACAAGGCACTGATGAGCTCTCTATTACTTTAAGCAGAGAATACAAATCAGTGCAATCCACTGCTATGGATCAACGCAGGTTAAAAAGAAAATCTTTTCTACCGAATTTTTAAAATAAAGGGTGATCTCATGTTAAATAAGTTACTTTTTACCTAGTCAAATAGGCAAATGATGTTTTCGGCTCTTCCTGGAGTACATTAAATAAAACAATAAATCTATGTGACCTTTGCATACTCCTAAATACACATTTATTTTTAAAACAATGCATACAACTATCTCATATTTTATAGTATTTACTGTAGTACATGGGAAATGAATAGTATCTCAGGTATCATTTTGCTTAAGTATCATAAAATATTTTTTATTTTTTATTTATTTATTTATTTTTGTCTTTTTGAGACAGGGCCTCACTCTGCAGTTCAGGCTGGCTTTGAGCTCACTTTGTAGCCCAGGCTAGCCTCAAACTTGCAACAGCCCTCTTGCCTCAGCCTCCCAAGTGCTGGGATTACAGGTGTGTGCCACCATGCCCGGCATATTTTTTAAAGATTGCTCAAATAATGAACAATGATTATCTTTCTTATAACAAAGTTGTTCTTTTTCTCCGTAGAACTATTAATGTTTTTCAAGAACTGTGCTTTAACTAAAGTTGTAAAGATATTTTAACTACCGGTATCTTAGGAATTACTCTTTGGGGGAACTCACATCCATGTTTAAGTGCAGAACAAATAACAGTGAAAACTGCACTACTGCTACTTTCTTGTCTCCTACAGCCCTCAGAATACTGTACTTGGTTGACTGACAAAATAGTTTTCAAATAACAAAGCATATTAGAAGAATGCAATCCTCATCCATGAGCCTAGAAGTAAACTTGTTTTAAGAAAGGCCTGCAAGAATTATAGAGCCTACACTTTAATTCATAGGACAGACGAGCTGCACAAAAGCCAGTAACCACAAACAAATTAATCCAGTGGATTAGATGTTGTGAAACACTTATGGGTAGAAATGACAAAGGTGGCAAACAGAAGTCGCACGCAGACCTCTGGGCCTCAGCCGGCCCTGAAGATGCCTTCCCAGTAAATCATGCGCAGCACCATTTCCTTCTGATTACCTCTGTGCAGGGTGCTACTTTTAAGAAAACAGGCACTTTTAAGAAAACATCTATATTCCTTAAATTATAATTTTTTTTTTTTTTGGTCTTTTTGAGACAGGGTCTCACTATGCAGTTCAGGCTGGCCTCGAACTCACTTTGTAGCCCAGGCTAGCCCAGAACTCACAACTATCTTCCTGCCTCAGCCTCCTGAGTGCTGGGATTATAGGCATGTGCCACCATGCCCAGCTAAATTATAATTTTTAAAAAGCCCTTAGAAATGTAGCCCAGTGACAAGAAACATAATTTTTAAGAGCCCCCATATTTCAACAAGGTGGACAAGCAAGAAATAGTGTTATCTGGCAATCAAAATATATTCAGTACTCGTGAAACTCTACGGAAGGTACCCAAGGATGTCAAACTATGTCCTAGCTATTATATCAGTATTCAGCCTAAAGTATCGCATGCGTAGTTTTAGAAGTACCTCGAGAATTTTATGTAGCAGCTCGGGAACTCCCTCGAGAGCCATGGACGTGTTATGGTAGTCTCGGTGTTGAAGAACTGTGTACACCATCTCAGGATCCCCAGTGCTCACAGCCTCATGTAAAACTGGAAAACCAAAAGGGGAAATTTAATCACCAAGTATTTTCATGCTTTCTTACCAAGGCCACTCTGCAAAGTATCTGCACAGATCAAAAACCAATTTATTTGCTGTAAAGAGGGAGATGCTATTGGGTATGAGCACCACTTCTGATCACTAGCTTTTCGCTGAATAAAAAGAAAAGAAAACAAAGCATACTTAGCCTCTTGATCAAACCTTTCCCACCCACTCCACCCTTCCAGTACTGGTTCTGAAGGCCTGACAGTGTTTTCAGAGCTGGCTTTAACTGTGAGGTCCCATGCTGTGGCTGCATGTAGATCTGGTGGCCAGGACTTGCACTTATGAGAATCTTTGGTCAGTCAACACAAAATTAATCGTAAGAGAGTGTGCAAAACAGTGAAATGCTTGGATTTCACCAGAAGAGACTATTTCTATCAATTTTTTTTTTTTACTTTTGCCTATCTTGATGGGTTCGGTGACATTTCCACCACGTTCCCAGAGTAAAACTGGCTTCCACATACATGTATGGTGAGTGGTTCACGTGAGGGCCATTTCTGAAAAGGAATCACCCCATCAAGAATTTGAGCCACTGTGCGGCAGACAAGCCAGCATCCCCAGCTCCCATCTTCTTGCCCCATCCCTGTCCCAAGAGAGAAACAGCTGGCTGGGAGGAAGATCACAACTGAAACTAGTCTTTCTCAGAGAAACTGAAATGAACAACTTTAAACCATGCTACTAGTACACTTGCCTGTCCATCCCTGGCCGTTTTCTTTAGTCACATCTGCTTTATGTCGGAGCAAGACTCGAGCAGATTCCAAATGTCCCAAAGAAACTGCAAGGTGCAGTAATGTTCTGCCTCGTGGATCCAGAGCCTCCACATCCTGTGAAGCACACATTGGCATTTACGTAATTCTCATAATTATATAAGAACATGAAGACGTGTTTGAGAGCTATGTTAAGTATAAAAAGTAAAAAGTAGTGTTTTAATTAATTACAGAAACATGTAAAAAGGTATGTGGGCATAGGTAAAATATGAATCTGGGGGCTATCAATTAAGACAAGTTACTGAATTCCTTTTTTTCATTAAAAAATGTTAAAGTTATGAGTTCCTTTTCTATAAAGTTAAGTACCTAATAAATAAATATGACCATTGCCTCAGATCATATGACACAACCTGAGGCTCTCAACAGCACTCTGAGTCTAGGCTTCCATGAAAAGCAACTGCCTTCTTACACACAATGTGGGGAATTTCTCAAGCACGTATCAGCATTCAAGTCTAGAACGGGAAGTGCAGAACTTTAATCAAAACTGAAAGCACACAGAAGACAATTTAGACCAGAATAAAAGTTATATTGTCTAGCTGGATTTGCACCAAAACCCCTCTTCCAGGATTATGCATTGGGTTCCGAGTCCTCTGAAGTAACATACAACATCCAGCAGCATCTGCATGTCTTACGGACAAGGGGTGTGATCGTGAGGCACATATGTGGATACTTTTGTAGAGAAATATAAAAACATATACTTTATTTCCAGTCATCCCTGGGGGGTTTCTTCCCTGTTCTAAACAGACACCCTTGGCTTTCATCTCTTCGTTCCTATGCTGCTTTCAGGTCGTCCTCTCGGCACTGCATTGAGTCTCCAGAGCCAAGCAGCAGTCTCTCTGCTGCAAGTCTCAATGGCTGGGCACAACCTGAAAAACTCGTCTCTGAGAGTTCTTCCAAGGACACAATGGACTGCCGCAAGACTTTTAGAATGTAAAACCTTTTAAATACCGTAACATTTCCTGGGAAAGGTGCTTTTACTTGGTTTGGGATGCTGGAGGTTATACAGGAACTACCTGCAGTTTCTGAAGACTGATACACATGGCACTTAAGAAGGGAGGTACAATCCCACAGCTATCAAAGCTCCTTGTTTTGCTAAAAATTGTGTGGTGAAGATAAGAAATGTTATCAAGGAATAATATAGGGGGTTTAAAACATTCTGGAGGCTGAACACAAAGCCTCCTGGACCAACCAAAGGCCTCATTGTTCTCCTTGGTCCTGAAATACAGCAGCCACCCCACATCCATGGAGGACACACTGCCAGACACCCAGTGGATGCTTCAAACTAAGAGCAGCACTGAATCGACACGAACACGTGTACACACAGACACACACACTTATGATGAAGGCAAGAATCTTCACCTTTGTATTTGAAGGAAACACCTTATGGTTTCTCACTGACATCTGATTTCCCAAATCACTACTCTTGTGGTTTGGGGACATTATTAAGTAAAATAAGAGACACTTGGAATATAAGCACTGTGATACTCCACCAGTGGATCTGATAACCAAAGTGACCACTATGGTGGTTAGCATGGACAGCATGGATACACTGGACAAAGGGATGATTCATGCCTTGGCAGGACAGAGCAGGACAGTGTAAGAATTCACCATGCTATGCAGAATGACACACAATTTAAAACTCGTGAATTGCTTACTTAGTATTTTCAGATTGTAGTTGGTCATGGTTAACTGAAAGCTCAGAGAGTGAAATCTCGGATAAGAGAAGACTACTGTGCCATCATACCTCCTGGCACATGGTCCACATTACCTCCAGCGATTCCCTGTCTCTTCTCAAGGGTATGGCTTGTCCATCATACCAAAGAGATTGAGAATTCCAAAAGATAGAACCCTAATATTATATTTTCTAGTTTCTGTAACCCTACCTCTAACGTATTAAGTAGTTGTTTTCTGAAAAAGAACAAGGCTATGAATTACTGTGTTTCCCAGAAAATAAGACCTACTTAGAAAGTAAGCAGGCTTGAAAACTAGAGATCAAAAACACCAGCCCCAATCAGCCTGTTTGTCTTCCCTGCCTTACGAGTGGTACCCAAGCAAGACAATGGTGATGCCAGGTAAGGCAAGGATAGGCTCACTGGGCCTGGCTTTGGTTTTTGTAGGGAGGTTTTGAGATAGGGTCTCGCTATGTAGCCAAGGCTGGCCTTGAACTTGTGGCAATCCTATGTCAGCCTCTCAAGTGCTGGGGTTACAGGTGTGTGCCACCATGCCTGGACAAGGGGCTGGCATTTTTGATCTCTACTTTTCAAAGCTGATTATTTTCCAGCTAGGTCTTATTTGGGGGAAAGAAAGTTGAAGTTGAAGCTTAGCAAGAAAGAAATAATTAGCAAACTCTTTTTTTTTTCTTTTAGCAAACTCTTTATCATCCTACATTGTATTATATAAACTAAGCATACAAATTCAGTCTAAATAAAAGGTACTAGGTTTAGCACATTGCCTCCCATATAAGAGGTACTTAATATTAATCATATGAAAGAAGAAACTCTACTGCAATTCACACTCTGGAATAAAAGTAGTAACTTAGACTAAAGATTAATACTCAAACTCCTGTACAACTCTCAGGTATGTATAAGTAAAAGCTAAATAGATTAAGTTAACTTTTTTCTATTTTGGAACACAGGAAAAGACATATAAGCCACAGGCTTATCTGAGAAGCTGAGAAAAAATTCTATACTTATATTCACTTATATGAGAAGCTGAGAAAAAATACTATATTATGTTATGGTGACAATGTGATTTAGAAGCAAAGGATGAACTGGGCATGGTGACACAGGCCTCTAATCCTAGCATTCTGGGAGGCTGAAGCAGGAGAATCATGAGTTAGAGCCAAGCTCAGGATAGTGAGACCTTACCTAGAAAAACCAAAACAGCTAGGCATGGTGGTGAAGAAGCAAGAATCTGAATAAGAATCTCTGTAGCAAGTATAGAGATTAAATGAATAATTTAATAACTCCCTACCTAAAGAAGCAGGCCCAGATGTGTTCACTGATGAATTCTATCACATATTTAAAGAATACCAAATCCTCACTAATTCTTTCAAGAAACAGAAGAGGAAGGGAAAGTTTCCAACTTATTGTATGAGCCCAGTATTCTCCTGATGACAAACATAAGAAAACCACAAATAAATATCTCTAATAAATATGGATGCAAAAATCTTCAATAATATACTACCAAATCAAATTCAGCAACATAAGCATGGCTACTACACACTATAAACAAATGAGATTTATCCTATGAACAGAAAAATGAAATTAAGAAAATAATGCCAGGCTGGAGGTGTAGCTCAGTGGTACGGCTGGCTCTTGCTTAGCATATAAGAAGCTCTGGGTTCAATCTCTAGTACTGCAAAAGAAAAGAATTCCACTTCTAGTAGTATCAAAAAGAATAAACACTTTGGAATAAATTGAACAAAAGACATACAAAACTTTATACTCTGAAAACTCTAACACTTTTTTTGTTGTTGTTTGTCTTTTGGAGACAGTCTTGCTATGTAGTTCAGGCTAGCTTCAAACTCACTATGTAGCCCAGGCTGGCCATGAGGCCACAAACTCAGGGTAATCCTCCTGCCTCAGCCTCCTGAATGCTGGGATTACTGCCATAAGGCATATTGAAATGAATTAAAGAACAATCTAAATAAATGTAGAAACATCTACATTCATTACTCCACAGACTATTAAGATGGCATCCAAACTGAGGTTTAGATTCAATTCCTGGCTTTTTAGAGAAATTGATAACTTGACCCTAAAATTTATATGGAAATACAGAGAACACAGAATCATAAAAACCAAGGCAGCCAGGCATGGTGGTGACATCCATAATCTTAGCACTAGGGACGCTGAGGTAGGAGGATCAGGATTGCTGCAAGTTTGAGGCCAGCCTGAACTACATACCCTGTCTCAAAAAAAAGAAAAAATTAAGGTAAGACAAAGGTCAAGTATGCACACTTCCAAATTTCAAAATTTATTACACAAAGTTATAGCAATCAAGACGCTGTACTGGCATAAAGAGTCATTTTGTCGATGGAATAGAACTTAAGGGTCCTGAAAAAAATCCACACATTTATGGATAATAAATTTTCAACAAAGGTGCCAAATTTGGGGAAAAAATAGTCCTTTCAACAAAAGAGTCTTAAACAACTGGACATTCATATGCAAAATAATAAAGTCTCATACATACTATACATGAAAATTGGCTCAAAATGGATCATAAGCCCAAAGGAAAAGTCAAAATGATAAAAGCTATCAGAAGAAAACATAGGGGAAAAAAAAAGAACATAGGAGTACATCTTCATGACCACAGCCTTCTTAACTATAACAATGGAAGATTACATAACAAAAATATAGGTAAGTTGGACTTCATCAAAATTAAAAACTTTATGTTTGAAATGATACCCCAAAGAGAGCAAAAAGGCAATCCACAGAATGGGAGAAATTATTAGCATATCATGCTAGGGCCTAGTAACCAGAATATATGAAGAACCTTTACAGTTCAGTAATAAAAAGTCAAATAACTCAATTTTAAAATGGGCAAAGAATTTGCATAGCTATTTCTTTAAAAAAAAAAAGGCATGTGGCCGAGTGTGGTGGTGCAGGCCTCTAATGCCAGCACTCGGGAGGCTGAGGCAGGAGGATCATTGCAAGTTCAAGGCCAGCCTGGGCTACAAAGTGAGTTCAAGATCAGCCTGAACTACATAGTGAGACCTTGTCTCAAAAAGACCAAAAAAAAGGCATGTAAGTTGACAAAAAGTACATGAAAACATGTATAACATCACAAATCATTAGGGAATTTCAAATTTCAAATTAAAACCAAAAGGAGAAATCATTGCACACCCACTACAATGGTTACAAACTAGCAGACACAGTAACAAGTGTTGACATGTGGAAAAACAGGAACCCTTGTGCACTGCTGGTGGGAATATAAAATAGTACAGAACTAAGAAAACAACCGTTCATCAAAAAATTAAATATAGAATGACCATACAATCTAGTAATTCCTCTCCACGGTATATACACAAGAGAAATGAAAACATATACCATGTAAAA